TGGATTCTGCCTCCTCACAGAGACACCAAACCTACATTTTTTGCATTTGCCTCCATATTAAGCCTTTCAAAAGACAAAGATGCACATTTTCACCTTCACAAAAGAGAAGTTTAGCACTTTTTTCCAGTCGTTTAACAGTTACATGCTTATATTCTCACACTGCCAAGACAAAAATGCACATTTTTACCTTCATAAAGGAGAAGTTTAGCACTTTTTTCCAGTCCTCTAACAGTTAAATGCTTATGTTCTCACACTGCCAAGACAAAAATGCACATTTTTACCTTCATAAAAGAGAAGTTTAGCACTTTTTCCAGTCTTCTAACAGTTAAATGCTTATATTCTCACACTGCCAAGACAAAAATGCACATTTTCACCTTCATAAAAGAGAAGTTTAGCACTTTTTAGCAGTCATTTAACAGTAACATGCTCATGTTCTCACACTGCCATCAATTAAAAGCTTTAAAAAGCACATTCAAAAGGTTTTCATGTTTCGAGTACTTTCATCTTGTAAATATACTTTTTAAAAACCAGACCCACTTTATTATGTGCTATAATCTTATGTGTATTTTCAAGTACCTTGTTTTTTTTGTAACCACACTTGGCACCAATCCATAAAACAAATTCCTACTTGTGGAACCTTACTTGGCAATAATCAAAGATGCGGAAACGTGTTGGATCTGTAAAATAAACACATTGTTGTGACTATTAAAACTTTTAACTTGTTAACATAAATTCAGATCATTCATTTGTCTGTGTCTCCAAACATTCACTTGTCACTAATGCATGTTTGTTCTAGAAATCTACTGTCATGGAGCACCCACTTGAATTTTCACAGCTGTTTATGCACATAAATGGGGAATAATTTCATTTACCGTGCTCAGATATCCATCGATACTCTAAATATGCACATAAACAAACACGAGAAAGGCACAATGGACAAGTGTGGACACATTTTTAGGAGGAAAAAGCCCAAAAATGTCAAATCTAACTGAAAAAAACTGCTTTATTTGTTTAGAAGTCTCTCTTTGTGCTAAGTGACCCATCAGCATGTTAGTATTTACGACATGGGGCTTGTCACGGTGCATTTTCATGCCCAGCTTAATTTCACAAGAAGGCTTTCAGACCGCGGGACACACCCTTCAGCTGCTAATTCAGGCTGCCGTTGTTCGCTTTCTTTGTGCATACTTTGTGTTTTCCTCCGGTGGGGCTGTTTCTTTTTA